ACAAACTCAACTTTAGTCATCTTTTTATGACGGTGGTTGTAGGAATATTTTAAGCCCTTTACCTGTGTTTTTTTTGCTTTATTCGTTAAATTTGTATAAAATTGGAAAACTTTTTTTTGGCTTTTTTGCGCAATATTCTAAGCAAACCAAACTTTTTCATTTCGTGTCCTCGAGCTTAATACTTTTGCTCTGTTAATACCCGTTGCAGCAATAAAACCACACCATTATACCTCTTGCATGAGATTGAATAGATTATTAATGGACCCAGACGAAAAACTTGGGGTTTGATTGGGCCCCAATATTTCCAATATTGATATTAAAACGTTGCAAATTTTTACCCCAATGACCGGAAATACATTTTAGTATTCAAATAGTTTTCGAGATCAGAGCGTTCAAAAATAAAATTTCATACGTCCTGCATTGTTAAATTGAATTAATCAGAAATGGGTAGTTTCTCTTGCAGAGAATTCTTCTTCTTCTTCTTCTTCTTCTTCTTCGTCTTCTTCTTCTTCTAGAAAAACTCAAAGCAAGTCATCGTTTTTGACGCCCGTTGTAGGAATGTTTTAGGCTCTTTATCTGTATTTTTTGTTGCTTTATTCGCAAACTCGTATTCAATTTTGAGTACTTTTTGCAATTTTGCGCAAAACTTTAAGCACACCAAATTTTTCCATTTCGTGTCCTAGAGCTTAATTCTTTTGCTCTGTTAATACCTGTTACAGCAATAAAACCACAACATTATATCTCTTGCATGAGATTGAATAGATTATTAATGGATCCAGTAGAAAAACTTAGGGTTTGATTGTGCCCCAATATTTCCAACATTGATAACAAAACGTTGCAAAATTTTTACCCCAATGACCGGAAATACATTTCAGTATTCAAGTAGTTTTCGAGATCAGAACCTTTAAGTATAAAATTTCATGCGTCCTGCATTATTAAATTGAATTGTTCAGAAATGGGTAGTTTCTCTTGCAGTGCGAAAAAAAAATCTGCTTGAATGGTGGATAACTAATTTGAAATTTGAGATAAGAATTAATTGCAATCGATTATTTCCACTTTGCTTAGACGCGGAGGTGTGTTTATTTGAGATTTTCTGTGATATTTTTACTCGTGCTCAATTAAAGTGCACTACGCTTTGTATTTGGTCTTTCGAAATTCTACAAACTCAACTTTAGTCATCTTTTTATGACGGTGGTTGTAGGAATATTTTAAGCCCTTTATCTGTGTTTTTTTTTGCTTTATTCGTTTAATTGGTATAAAATTGGAAAACTTTTTTTTGGCATTTTTGCGCAATATTCTAAGCATACCAAACTTTTTCATTTCGTGTCCTCGAGCTTAATACTTTTGCTCTGTTAATACCCGTTGCAGCAATAAAACCACACCATTATACCTCTTGCATGAGATTGAATAGATTATTAATGGACCCAGAAGAAAAACTTGGGGTTTGATTGGGCGCCAATATTTCCAACATTAATAACAAAACGTTACAATTTTTTACCCCAATGACTGGAAATATATTTTAGTATTCGAGTAGTTTTCGAGATCAGAACGTTTAAGTATAAAATTTCATGCTTCCTGCATTATTAAATTGATTTATTCAGAAATGGGTAGTTTCTCTTGCAGTGCGAAAAAAAATCTGTTTGAATGGTGGATAACTAATTTGAAATTTGAGATAAGAATGAATTGCAATCGATTTTTTCCACTTTGCTTAGACGCGGAGGGGTGTTTATCTATGATTTTCTGTGATATTTTTTACTTGTGCTCAATTAAAGTGCACTACGCTTTATTTTTGGCCTTTGAAATTCTACAAACTCAGTTTTAGATAATACGAGACTGCTCATATATCAGGGCCAAGCTCTGAATGTTCCGACTGATCCTTAATCCATATCGAATAATTTTTGAGTAAATAAGTGAGAATAATAAGTAATTATTGAAAGGTTATAAATTTTGGACAATCTCAAAGGTCAAGTGTAAAAGTTTAAATTACGAAATTAATAAGACCGATTAGCTTAACTAGCCTCAATTCAATTTCGAACGTTTTTGTTTTGCGGGATCATTGGCCACGCATGAATAATTCGCGTTACGCTTTCAGAATTATGGATGAATTATACAAAGCCAACATAAATTAGTCCAGAGCATGGCCAAATTGGCAATTTTCTTAGGTATGTTGCAAAAAGATATCAGAGGTAACATTTTTTTTATAAAATTGATTTAAGGGAGTCGATGGCCTCATTTAGACATAAATTAATTTATAATAAAAACTAATTTTCGGTCTCCGAAAAATAAATGATGAAAAAAATTGCACCAAGCATAAATATTTTGTACTCTTCGAAAGTCTGAACAATAGTTTTAAAATATGCTGCAAATAACAAAGAAAATTGTCTAAAAATGGCACTGGTTAAAACTTTCAAAATTATCAAAAATTGTCTACAAGCGCTTGAACTTCGTTATTCATCATGACTACACCAAGCATCAATTGATGACTTTTTTGTGAAAAGCTGTAAAAGTTGAACAAAAAAGAGTGCGCTGTCTCCTGTTCAGGTCATTCAAATTTCCTCAAAAAAGAACCACCCAAAACAACCACTCAAAAAACAACCACCCTCAAAAAACAAGCACCCAAAACTTAGATGCTTTAGATGCGTTTTAATAGTTTAGCAATATCTAAAATATAGCAAGTCTTCGAAAAGAACATTTACATCCAAGTTTACTCAATTTTTTTGAGGGGGTTAGAAAAAAGGAATGAAAAACCATGAACAGATTTTTTCGACATTTTTTTTTTAAATTTAGACGGTTAGAGTTGTTTTTATTGCAAAACAGCTGAACCAAGTTACCCTCTTACCCCCAAAAATTTTAAGGAGCGACACGTTAGTTGAATTCTGAGTTGGAAAATTCAGATAATTGAAATCTAGTATTTTACGCGCTGCGCTTAGCTTTTTTAAGTCATATCAATGGCTGGCTTACAGACTTTTAACTGAGTTCATTTTGAAGAAAAGAAAAGAAGAGGTGCTGGTGAGTATCAATTGGATGCAAAAAGCTTGTTTAAGGTCAACACCCTGATTGTTATGACTGAATCATCAAAAGTTTCAAGGTCTGTTCAGATCCGGAAAAGGAAATCAATTCAAGATTCGGATCGCTCTGAATTCGTAGATCCAGAAACAATAAGATATTTGGGAAGAGTATAATAGAGAACTTTCAGAGCATCGAATGTTAAACAGGGTTTTGATATTTTAGTTATATCGACCTAAATAAATTATAAGATTAAGCAAAAAGGTTTTTATTTGATTTTCTTAACCAGTCGTGAGATTTGATTGTATGTCGACAATGAAATTGCCTAAACGGATCTCGTATTAAAAAGAAAAAAAACGTTGTTTTGTAGGCATCGTTGTTTCTGTCACTCAAAACCTGTTAGAGAACGGCTCTTGCTAGTTTAACTCCACATAAAAAAGGACAACTCTAAAGTTCCATTGTCTTAGCCGTCTTTCCCGGGTTGACAAAAAATGCTTATCATACACTTTTCATATATGAAAAAAATGCTTATCATACTCTTTCATACAATTTCATAGAGAAAAAGTAAGTGAGTGAAAATAGCAAAATAAGCATTTTTTCCATCATATGAAATTGTATGATAAGCATTTTTTCCATACTATGAAATTGTATGATAAGCATTTTTCCATAAATGAAAATTAAAAAAATTGTATGATAAGCATTTTTTTATCAAAAGTTTCAAACCATTTTTTTAATGACCAGAAAGCTTCAAAAGAGGCAATTAGACCAAAAATGTTCATTAAAATTTTTAAAAACACTTAAAATTTTGTATGAATTTTCTATGATAAGCATTTTTCCATAGAGTTCATATATGAAACTGTATGACAAGCATTTTTCTTCTATGGACGTCAACCCGGGTGGCCAACGGATTGGATGATTTAGGCCAACAAAACGGCGCATCGTAACCTTATTCATCAGTAAGACTTTTCCTGTCTACTTTCAGAAATTTGCATTAGCCAGAATTTCTTAGACTAATTTGCAACATTGCAGAAATACTTTATCTGTGAATTTTGAGCCATATTCAGACAAAATCAAATTTTTTAGCTTGCCAAGCAAAACCTTCCTAAGCAAACTTTCAGAAAAGATTTATGCTTTTGCTCATTGGATAAAAAACGTTTCCATTTATATATATATACAGGGGCGGATCTAGGATTTTCTCGAGGGGGGGGCGGATTTTCAAACAATTTTCCAAAATTTTGACGACCTTTTTTTTTTTTTAGGTCAACCAAATAGATTTTTCGAGCTCTGCCAAAGCTCTGTTTTGCCCCTATTTTGGCTAAATTTTCTGCGCCGCAGGCAAATTTTTGAAAAAACAATCAAAAAAGCCGTTTTTGGGCACTTTTTGAAAAAATTTTACAAAAAAATCGCGTTTTTTTGGCGCGCGCTCCCCCTCAAAGTTAGTATATATAAAGTTAGTATATATATTTTCTAGAAGCAAAAAGCGTTTACTTTTGAGGAACCGAGCTCCGGTAAACGACTGACTAACCTATCATATCAGCCATCGTATTTCTTCACTCTGATATTTTTCAAAGCTTACTCGAAATAATAATTCAAGCTGTTAATTTCAATTTCGTGCAGTAACAGTGTAACAGTCGGAGATAATTTAGCTTCCGTCTGGAAATAATTTCAAAAGTTAGTCGCGACATGGTCAAAAAGTAAGTAAGGACACATTGTCTTGGTCTGCACAGTCTGAAAATGCAGAATTTTGGTCGACGTGGTTTGAAAAATAAATACAATTTAGATCGCGACAGTCTCGAATACCATTTGGTCATAAAAACCACAGCCTCGAACCAGTTTGTTATTTTCTAAGAGGTTTTTTTTCTGGTAAAAGGGTTGTTACAACGCCTGTGTAAGTTATGCAAACTTTGCAAATCTAATAACATCTACATTTTTGAGTTTTTATTTTGTCTGAGAGCTCTAATGACTATGCGGAACGTTAGTAAAAAAATTCACTTGGTTGGAGGTCTTTAATAACGAAATAACTTATTTAATAATCACAAGTAGATGGAGTGTAAAAAATCACAAAACGATCAGTTTTACAATATTGGTGCACAAATATTCATAGAAGTTTTAAAATGAGCAAACAATTAATTTAGCAATTCGCATCACCAAGAGCTAGTTCCAGTGAAAGTCTGCTGTCGCCACTCGACGGGAAAATATCATGGAAGTGGAAAAGCAAATCCTCGTCAGGGCTCGTTTCTTTCTCGGATTTGTTCACGACCCGAACGATTAAACTTACAAGATATCCAACTACCACAGTCCATGTGAAACCGATACAGCCATACCACATATAAGACAATCGAAACACGGAATTTTCCATGATGTTGAATTCCGAAGTGTCGGAAGTGTCTGTTTTGTATCCGAAAGTGTTCTGATTGAAATCTAATTGGTGGAGAATTTGGTCCAATGGCGCCCGAGACGTGGCGGTGCAGTTGGAGTCGTAGAGGATGAGTTTAGAAGCCGAATAATCCACTGTCTGAGATCCCCAGTAGATAAGCACTGAAACAAAATTGAAATTCTTTGATTTGATATCAAATTAAGAAAACGTATACAAACGGTATCGCAACAAAAGTTTTTCGCTTTCAGGGTGTGATCTAAAGAACTATCCGACCATTTGGCTTTGAATTGAGACAACCTCTAAGAAAAAAGCAAAATTTCACTTTCAGCTAAGAGTTAATTAAAAACAATTGTTGCTGATGTGATTTTTGCTCGTAATTTTGGGTGTTTTTTTAGATGCAATATAGAAGTTTTTTTTTAAATTGGACCTAGATCATCAATTTGCAATCCTTTTGCTTCAAAAACTCTCTATATAGCACTTTCGGGGCGAGAGCAAAATCTTAAAATAGTTTTGGATAATGACCAGGGGCGGATCTAGGATTTTCTCGAGGGGGGGGGGGGCGGATTTTCAAAAAATTTTCCAAAATTTTGACGACCTTTTTTTTTTTTTAGGTCGACCAAATTGATTTTTATTTTTCGCGCTCTCCCAAAGCACTGTTTTGCCCCCTATTTTTGCTAAACTTTCTGCGCCGCAGGCAAATTTTTGAAAAAACAGTCAAAAAAGCCGTTTTTTGGGCACTTTTTGAAAAATTTTGACAAAAAAAATGCGTTTTTTTGGCGCGCGCTCCCCCTCAAAAATAGCATATATTGGCACCAAAGGCGCCTTTAGAAAAATTTTAGGGTCGGTCGGCCAAAAATGGATTTCTGAAAAAGTATCAAAGGGGGGACCCTTTGGGTCGGCAGGGGGTCAAATCCCTGAGGGGAGGCGTTCGCCCCCCCCCCCCCCCCCCCTAAATCCGCCCCTGATCATGACACTTAGAAGGTTTTTAGGTTTAAAAAATGTTTGTTGTTGAACTGACCTTGTATAAGAAGACTGGTAATATAGCCGACAGTTGCTCCGATCCCATTGCTTCTCCTCGACGCCATTCCAAGTGTGAACAGGCCGAGCAGAGGTCCGGCCAATAGTCCAAATAAGGAAAGAGCCAGCTGCAGAACTGAATCCAGGTACTTGCAAATGAAAGCGAACCCAAGAGCTAACAGGCCGAATACCACTGCAATCAGTTTACCCAGTTTCGCTCTGACTTCTTGGCCGAGGTACTGTTCGGGAATCAAGTTAGTCAAAACTACAGCAGCTAATGCGTTTACACCTGATGAAATGGTGCTCAAAGACCCGCTGAAAATTGATGATACAAAAAGGCCTCCAAAACCAGGCCATGTTGCAAATGTATCAGTCACAAAATATGGCAAAATTTGATCTGGTTTTTGAATGATTCCCGATTTGATTGGATCGCACAGAGCGTACTTTGTGTATGCAAGCAATCCACAGTAACCAGAGATCAACATGAGAAAGATCAGACCAGGCAAATTCAAGAATATGGCCTTTTGTGCGTCTCTTTTGGTCCCCACACTGATGTATCTTTGCACCTGGGCTTGATTGGCGGCATAAATTGACAACCAGGTGAAAATACCTCCGATCATCAAGTCAGTTCCCGAGTGTCGAACTCTCGGATCTAAGGAGAAGTTGTCGAACTCTAGATGGTAACCTTTCTTCGTGATCTCGTAGACAGCCGATATGCCGCCGACCTTATAGGTTCCAGCGATCGAAATAATAATCATGCCGAGAATCATGACCATGGTCTGAAGAGCGTCTGTCCATATTATGGCCTTCATGCCTCCGACTACTGTGTAGAAAATACATACAAGACTGACTGCAACTATGGAACCCTCGAGTGAAAGTCCAGTTACAGCATTAAGCGCCAATGCAGGCGAATAGAGTACAATCCCCATGTAGAGGACCATCTGGACAATGTAGAGAGAACAAGCTATCAGTGAGACGGTTTTGTTGAAGCGTCTCTCGATGTACATGAAGGCTGAGAGGCTGTTGGCTCTTCGGAACACGGGCATGAAGAAGCAGGCGGTCACAGGGATGACGACAAAGTAGGTCATGGCCAGGTAGAAGTACATAGATCCTGCTGTGTACAGTTCTGATGGAGTTCCTGAAGCAAAGAACATCAACCTTAAAATTAAAGGTTTAGCCTTTAGAACCATTAGAATAGTTCATTTGAATAGTCCATTCGTAAACGTTTAGAGCCAAGTACACATTAGAACTCACAAGAAAATACGATTTTTTAAACGTAAAATGTGTCCTTATAGCTCTTTTGAAAACCACACGGGAAAGCGACATCATACACTTGACGCGAATATGGTTTTTAACTTCAAAATTGAATTCTTGATCACTTAAAAATAATTTTGTTTCGGTACTGAAAAACGATGAAAACAGCTGGTTCGACAGAGCATGAATCTTTTAATTCTCGAAGAACCGATCAGCTCGAAACTATCTAAGCCTTGAAAAAATTGATTGCCATGAAACCGACTAACCTTGAAAAATCCAATTAATTAGCTTAATAATCGACAAAAAATAGGTCCAATTAGAACTGACAAGAAAACCAATTTGGTCGGACCCTATAAACTGGAACAATTAAAACACCTACCGAGTAGTGTAATGGCCGAGATGAAACTGGCGAGGAGGGAGAGAGAAGTCGGGAGCCAGTCCAGATCCCGGTTTCCGGCCAGCCATTCGCCCTGGGTCTTTTGTTTGCCCCCCGAACACCCGTAGTACAGTCCGATCAGAGCCGACACGAGAAGCAGACATGAGAACACCACGTAGTCCATGATCCCAAACCGAGCAGCCGATTCGTCGTCAGACATGATGATGGCACAAACCAAGATTTTGATTATAAACCGATTAAATCTAATAAATTATTAACTAGTAATTAACTAGTTCCTAAAAGCTCAAGTTTTGAATTTGTAGGAGTAAAATTAAAACGTTAAAATGTCTCTCTGTCAATAAAGTGAAGATGACAGGAGATTAAGGGGCATAAAGGTCTTTATAATTAACGCAAAAACTAAAAGGTTTTGCGAACTCAATTATATTTGCTATTGCTTGATTATAGTTCAGAATACTAAAGCATTCGGAGTTTTGGGGCCAACTATTTGGGTTCGAAGATAATTTCAGCAGAAAAACGAAGTATATAGCTGAATATCAAAGTCCTTATAGATTTGAGCAAAGTGGCACACCACTAAGAGGAGTATTTGATTTTAGAATTACAGGGCGATATAAAGATTAAGAAGAGACTTCTCGATAAAGCTCTTCGTGGATGAAAATTTCGGTTCGACTTGGCAGCTTGACAAATTTGCTTGAACTAAACTTTTTTAAATCAAATATAAAACTTCTACTGAACCAATTAGGATTTGAGTGTTTGGTATATGATCATTGAGGTAACATTGCGCACCAAATGCATTGTTTAAAAAATGGTAATGGTAATGGGGTTCAAAATTGAGGCGATTAGAGCTTTCGAATATGCTAGTCGATTGTCAAAAGACAAAAACTAATTGACTTTTAATTGCTATTTTGCCAAAATATTTTCAGCCTCATCAACTATAACAATAGTCAATTTCCAGAACCAGTGATTGGTACCAATAGTTGAGCTGAGATAAATTGTTGCTGGGGAAAATCGTAAAATGAAGAATTAAGTAAGTATACTTTTAGAGCTTAATTTATTTTAGTTTGCTGGATAATTTTAATTTAATTTTTCATCTTATTTGAAAACATTTTTCCGTGGGAGGGGTCTATATTTGCCTAAATTAACTTTTTTATGACCATCGACATGACATCGCGATAGCCCAAAAGTCTGGAAACGTTTTTTCAGCCAACATACAATTGCATGCAATTGTTAACTAGGGCAATAACAGCTGTTCTCGACATCCACTAAAAATGAAACAGAAGTTTATTCCTCAAGACATGTCACTCAAGCTCGTACGACGACCAGAGTCTTTATAACTTTTGAACCTGACGTATTATAATCACAACTGATATCAAATTTTCTTCCTAATACTACCTGGCTGGAAGAGCTAACATTTAAATGGATATAAGCACCAGTATTATTGTGTGAGCATACCACTAACGATGAAAGCAAAAATGAAATATCTTGTGCATATGAAAATGTCAAATATATGAAAATATATCAAAATAACGCTTTGACTTCAGTAAACTGTATTTTTTTAAAGGAGCCTTAAGTTTCGCTAGTTTTTAGGTCAATTGAACAATCTCTACTTCGATTTCAAAAAAGACACTGAAGAGGATGATGCCTAAGGCTTGCAACAAAAGACAACTCGCAAAAAAACAAACTCGTATATTTCAGCAATTACGACAAAATGCGTTAAAAAACAAAGCAAAGTCTAACCGAAAATAGCTTGATTTGATTCAAATCTGGAAAATCCTATAAACACCCTAAGGCGTATGAAACTCAAAAAAATTACATTTTTCTTCAATCTGAATGTGTAACAAAAAGGCGGTAAAATAACAAAGCTTTTGAGGCGTCACAGTTTCATTCTTATTAAGGTTTCTTTTAAGCGATCTTTCATTTTAAGCTTCAAAATTAAATGAAAGAGCTTTCAGCTGCAAAAAAAGCTCACGCTTTTGATGATGTTAAGGAATTATTGATAACTTTTGTTGCAATTATTCATATTTAGGGCATCGTAACTCGACAACTCGCTACAAAAGACAACTCGCAAAAAGGCATCTCGTAAATTTTAGAACTTAGACAACAACGCCTAAATTTTGTATTTGTGTTGCTCGAATTTAACCTTTTATTAGAGCCTACAGAAATTTTAAACTCATGTCCAGACTAACCACAAAAATTACAAAAGTTTTTTTCAGTTTGCACAGGCCAGTTAGCAAAAAACTTGGAAATGGTGGTTGATTGCAAAAAAGACACGGAGTAAAGTCGAATCAAAGTGAAGTCCTATTTTGCGCTGGCTCTCATTTCAGAGTTACATGAAGCTGTCACTCGAAGCTCTGTACTCCACGACAACTAAAATTGAGCAACTCAAGCCGTATCTTGGTTGTTTCGAAAAAAAAATTGGGAGGGGGAATATATACGTGGAACTCAACGAGCAGACTCAGGTTTTAAACTAGCTATATGGAATCATTTTAACAAGGCGCTGAATGCAAACTAAAAAAACAGTTCGGTTAGAGGCTAGCATCAAAGATTTCAATTAGGAATGATTTATGTTCACCCATAAGTATCAAAGTTATTTAGTCAAATTTGAGAAGGAGCAAAGTTTAACCGAAAATTGTCTGATTCGTTTCTAATCAGGACTAAAACCCTATAAATACTCTGAAGCTGTAAATATGAGGACTTGCAATAGAGAATATCAGAAACGATCAGAAACTATCAAAACTATGATCTAAATTTGCAGCTAAAAGCTCTTCCATTTATTTTCGATCTGTAGAAAATCTTTATGTCAAAGAAAATTTTAAAGCCTCAAAGCCTTTGATAATTTACTGCATTTTTGTTTTACAATTAAATTAAGAGAAAATATCTGTCGAGTCTTAGACGAGTTGAATTTTTTGTGAGTTGGTTTTCGTTGCGAGTTGCCGCGGCACCAGAATGATGAACTCATCAGAAGCAATTTTCATCAAGCGAAACTGAGCCTTGCAATTTTAACCCGAAACGTTACTGGCAGAAACTGTTTACAACAGTGATAGAACATTCAATCAATAATTTTGATGTAAATTTTTTGGTCGATCATTCTTTGGTTTACGGCTAAAAGAAAGAACTTTGGCTAAAAGAGCTTGAGCAATGCCAAAACATTTTCCCATCGAGTCTGAACTACCCAATGTTCCAATAACGCATCATTTTACCAGAAGCATTAATCTTTTCATGATCATGCTTGATCTTACCAATCGAACATGGTCTCTGCAAGATAATCATTTAATTCAGAAGCCCTTGAATGAAGTTGGCAAGTTTTGAATGATGCGGGCCGATTTGTTTTTCCAATTCTCCAGGCCAGTTTTATTTCGATGATCCAGGTTGTGTATTTTTCCCATCATCCAGGCCAACTTTTCTATGAACGGTCTGGCCATTCTCCTTTATGTGAAAGATGAACTAAAAGAATTTCATAATTGTAAGTATCATAGAAAAGAGCGATGATCGCTGCAAAAACCTCGAAGGTTTTTTAGACAATTTTTTATGTTTTAATAAATGAATTCAATTTAATATACAAATTATGTCAAAATGATCCTAATTGGAAACAAGACTGCTTGTATTAGGGGGAAGCCTTGAATGTTCCGACTGCCTTTTAAGGTCTATGGAGCAGTGATAACATGAAAATTTAAATGTAATAAAATAGAATTTTTTTTTTTTAATTTGAGTTTTTTTGTGACAACATTCCACCACACGTCATATTAAGTACAAAGTTATAAATTTCGCTCCTATTAACAAATCAATTAAGGCATATAAGCTTCTTTGAACCAATTTGAAACGATTGATAAGACGGATTAAATCTCGCTTACGCGTTATTAGCGCGAATTATATCGCGCGTTAATCGTCTCAAATTTGCCAAAATGGCAATCTTTAAACCCCCATAACTTTACGAAAAATGATCACAGGTAAAATATCTTCTCAAATTTGAGCTCAGGACAACAATACTTTTCGAATGATGTAAAAAAATTCCGTCAAAAATGGCTAGTTAAAAAGTCGAAATTTGTCTGAAGAAATAAAAACCCACCCCGAGCACAAATATTCCGTTACTTTCGTATCGAAAGTCGGAACAAAAAGAACTTCATCTTTTGCTGTATCAAGAAGATTGACAACACTAATCATGATTAAACCGACGGCATGCTACAGATTCCAGACTACGATGCAATTTTTGATATAAGAAGATAAATCATTAAAAACATCAAAATGGATCGAGAGGTCGTATGAAAAAACATTCAGAATTTGTAAATCTATCACCAAAGTTTGAACCTAAAATTTACGGCAGTTTTATGACCTTTTTGAAGTTTCTAAAGAAAAGAACCTTCTGGTTGATTACAAAGTTATCATCAAAACGTTTTGACTGAAATTAATTGGTGATTAAAATCGATAACTAAGAAAAAAATGGAAATCGCTTTATCCAACAAACGATTACGTGTAGGGTTTTGCGGAATATTTCATTTCAAACGATGTCCTAAATTCCAAAGAAAAATCAACTGCTCAAACTAAAAAAAGTTGTAAGCAAGGATCGCTGGCTGCTGCGCAAAAAGCACAGAATGCTCCAATCATAATCTTGAAAAAAAACTTTTTTCAATTGAATGTCTTTTTTTTGTGCGTGGTTTGATTAAAAGATTGGACGAAAACCTAAAAATTGAATGTATTCAAAACTATTCGTATAATGGCAAAACGGAGAACAGTTTTAGTCGAAAAACAACAAAAAAAAATCGAAGAAAAAAATTTTGAAAGTTTTCTAAACTTTTTATTTTTTAGCAGATTTTTTTTTTGATTTTTTGAACCCCAAAAAATGGCACAAAAACTTCATTTATAGGCCTGTTCACTCGCTTTATTCTTTCAAAATCCGGTTAAATAATTAAATTTTTTAAATCTAATTTTTCTCGACCATGATCATAAACCTTTGAAAATAGTAAATATTGTTCAAATCATTATTAACAAGGATTAAAACTGATATATCACTTGACCCTGCCCAATTGTGGTCTGATTTCGCATGGAAAACCATAAAAATTTGGAAAAAAAGAGAAAAAAAATTAAACACAGAATTTGTCTCCATTTTCATTGGTTGGAGCATTATAATCTATACTTTCTATAACATTAAAAAATATAGTTTGAACAGCTGGCATGTCATTTCATGTGAAAATTACGATTAAATCTGAGAACTTTTATTTGTTAAGAAAAACATTGAGAGTAGAAGTATTCAGAGCAATAAGCAAGTTTTGCAGAGCTGTAGTTGGGCACAAAGATAACAACATCTACATAAAAACTTTTTTCAAAATATACCATTCATTAAAAAGTCCTAATTAGAGCTTTAAATGATCAAGTCTTTAAATTTTTCCCCTGATATGAGCAAAAAACAACTCTTTTCAAAACTAAAATCATAAAACAGGACATTTCGAGGCCAAACTGGACATTTTGTGAAATATAACCGGATTCCGTGACTAAAATCAGATTTGTTGTGGAATATGCAATAATGCTGCTTTTCTCTGATCTTCTTTGTGGTTTTTGGTTTTCATAAACAATTTGCTAAAACAATGTACCGCTCAAAATTGCTCTAAAAACAGGCGAATTTGGGGAGCCACCAACCGTATTTGCAGAATCCGGAAATTTTTTTGGAATCTACAAGCAAATATTAAACTACGTGCTTAGTGGAGTCCGCAAATTGTAAATTGCTTCCACCTTTTTTACGGAACCCAGAAACAAATACAGTAACTTTTTAAAATTAAGCGGTTTCTTTGCCAGGTGTGGGTCACCAGCAAGTTCAATCTCATTTAGACCTACACCCAATCATTCGATCTCAATTCCTGCCAATTTATTCCCAAACATTCGATCACAAAACCTGCCAACTGATCTTGTCAACTATTTTCCCAGCTCTTTCGATTTTCAGAAATTCAATTGTAAGCAATAACAGTAGGAAAGCATGAAACTAAAAACCCAAATATTTGATCACAGTTTTGAATTGCATAATTTGTACGAAAATG